TAGATAATTCATAGGATTCTTCTTGTTTTTTTATAAAATAATCTTGTAATGTAAATCGAGAAAGAAGATGAAATAATCGATTTAAATTGATCATTAAGATTATTTGATGAATATTCCATTGGCGAGCATACGAATCTAACCATTGTTGTACATCGAGTCGAAGTTTAACGTCAAATTTGAGTAACATATTGGCATAGTTATCATCAAAAGGATGTGCTTGTCGAAGTCTTTGTTCGATCGTCGACAACTCTTTCACTAAATTAACAAAAATATCATTAAAATTAAACGAAGAAATAGAAATAATCCTACGGATGAATACATACGAGGTATATTTGCTAAAAGTGGATAAAATTCATCGGCATCGTTGCAGATAGGAAAGACAGGGAGAAAAGATTGTTGAAGAGTCGTCAAAACTACTGATGGACGTATCTGACACAACCGAGAAGTATTTTCATTGATCGGTATTGGTAGCCATGGATGTTTTTCTTGTGGTGGTGGTGGTGGTGGTGGTTGTTCTGATGAAGAACGTGAATTTGTTGTCATAGTATCCGATGTTTGTACTGATGCATGGGCAACATTGTTATTATATCTTGGATGATGTGCCATAGTTGGTGATGCACTTGAAGAATCTGAATAGAATAAAAGAGTAGAGTGTCGAATGGGAATGAATTCGATTCGAATTACATGATGAATCATGTGGTAAAACATCGGTTGAAAGTAAACGTTGACGAAACATGTTCGTTTTTAAGCAATCGATGATTTTGTGATCGAACACACTCTATCTATTCATGATCTACAAATAATGTTTCAATGGGTCATTTTAAATTAACATGAGTAGGAAAGTTAGAAAATGTTTCTTCTCAGTAGGATGAATGTTCAATGAAAAATCGAGTTTCAACAAGAAAAAAGTTCGTTCTTCTTTAATGTGATCGACGAACGAGATTTCGACACCATTCATCATTACATTCAATCGAAGAAACTTGATTGATATCAGTAGACCCGATGAGCTGATGTAAATGACCAATTGTATTGAGTTTTGTTTCAGCCTGTGTAATAAATAAAGCTTCAACCAATCGTCTGAAAGCAGCTGACGTATTTTCAGGTACTTTTATGAAA